GAGTTGTGGAAATCAACGGTTTTCAGGTTTTGGCTTCTCAAGTAAGTTAAAGAGGAGCTGTTTTATTTTCTGTTTCTTCTTTGAATAGATTCAAATTCCTTTTCTGAGACATAAACGTATAATTTTCCTTTTGCAGTTTACTTCACTGTCGAAGCTTTTCGATGAGCACCCAGACATTGCAAAAGATTTCAAACTAAAGAACCAAGTGGTGAAGACAGAATACATGAATGTTCTCCTTAATCTCATTGAGACAGTTGAAAAGCCTTCAAAGAATCAATCACACACTGAGCTAGGCAAAGCTCGCAGCGAGTTGAGTGAGCTGATGGAAGTAGGTTTCAAGCTGGACTGGTTGAAGTCAAAGCTTGAGAAGGGTTCTTTGGAGAGTTTGAGGTCAAAGCTTGAGGAGATTTCTTTGGGGAAGAAGAAAGCAGAAGATGCTGATAGGTCTCGAGGAACGCCTCAAGAATCTTGAGCTGATGGGATTGGAAAGCTTGAAACCAAAGCTAGAAGATGTTTCCTTGGAGATGAAGAAAGCATATGATGCTGATCGGTCTCGAGTCCAGCAACTCGAGGAACGCTTCAAGAATATTGAGCTGATGGAATCAGGTTTGAAGATGGACAGTTTGAAGTCAAAGCTTAAGAGGGTTTCCTTGGAGATGAAGAAAGCAAAAGCTGATGGGTCTCTAGTCCAAAAACTTGAGGAACGCCTCAAGAATCTCGAGGTAATGGAATTGGGATTTAAGATAGATTGTTTAAAGTCGAAGTTTGAGGAGGATTCCTTGGAGAGGAATCAATCATATGATGCTGATGGATCTCGGGTCAAACAACTCGAGGAAAGCGTTAAGAATCTTGAGAAGATTGTGTTTGAACTCAAAGTTGAACTGGCAAGAAGAAGGACAAATCTTCTGCTGATGGATTTTTGTTGGTCGACGAGGTTGCTTGATATAGAAATCAAGTTGCTAGTATTATTAATTAACAACCTTTGGCCTTGAGGTGGAGGTGGCAAATCCTTTATATGTTTTTTTTTTTTTTCAGTGAAGAAATTACATTAGAGAACTCAGTTTCCTACTTGACATCTACTTTGAATAATTTGATTAAAGTTTAATAATTTAAGAAACTCACAATCGTTATCTTTCTCAACAAGTAAACAAACAAATAAACTTAATCGATAATAATCTAATTAAAGATGACTCTTAACTACGAGTACCGACACTGAAACACAAACTTAAAGTGTAATACGCCAATACGGATGAAATTAATTAACACACCCATTGGTTTCTTGCATAGCAAGTCAACAAGACAAACCTACAACCTAAAAGTCACTCTTTAACTTTTTCGTCGTTCATCTCCACCGTAAACTGATCTTCCAGCTCACCCCCACAGTTTATATCTTGGAACCATCTCCGTAGCTTCTTGTTGTCTTCTAGTAGGACCAATCGGAGTTGGCAATGGACCACATATCCTTCGTGTAAACATTAAAGCAAACGTCAAGTCCTGTTGTCTTATAGGAGAACGAGTCGGGATTGGCCGTGGAATGGAGTTTCTCTGTGTAATAAAAGGATGATTCAAAAGCTCGGTCGCGGAAGCCCTACTTAATGGATGCATAGTATGGCACAACCTCAAGAAGTCTTTGGTCACTGGAGAGATATCTTGGTCCAGCCTCCACTCGTACGAATCTCCCATCTCTATTGCCTTACCTCCAAACATCTCATAAACCATGCACCCTAGAGACCATATATCAAGGGCCGGTCCAATCAATCCGTCCGGTCCAACAGATTCCGGGGACATGTACTTTTTCGTACCAGCGAACATCGACCTAGGATCCGTATTAGGCTCCTTGGATAATCCGAAATCAGCAAGTTTGACATCCCACGGATCTCCTAAAGTAGTGGAAGGGAAGAGGAGAACGTTGGCTGGCTTGAGGTCGCAGTGAACGTAGCCGCGTGAGTGAAGCGCTTCGAGTCCTTGTAGGATCATACGAGTGGAGCGTCCAATCACATTCTCAGGCAATGGTTTTCCTTGCAAAGCAGAGATTTTCTCGAGTAGAGTACCTTCGGAGGCATACTCCATATAGATATGGCACTCATCGAAGATCATACTTAAATCTAAGTGAATGCTATCACTTGAGGCTTGAACGATGCGAGGATGATTACGGAAACGATGCATGATCCTGAGCTCCTTCTCGAGATTCTCCTTGACATGCATTGAAGATGTCTTCTTCGCATAAAATCCGTTGATGGGATGCTCCTCTAGAGAGACAGAACCGTAGGTTCCTCGGCCAAGAACACGGACATGCTTCAATGAAAGTTCGTCCACACACAAAGGTCCTTCGCACATAACATCCATAGTGATTTCTAGCTTCTCTCTTAACTCTGCTTGGCTCTTTAATTAGCGATCTCGTACGTCCTCTTTATTTATTACCACTTGGTCGGTGGTATCTAGCTAGCCCACTCCATTTTCAGATAGGATTTTTGTTGGATTCTACAAAATTTTAGATAATTATCTTTGGTATACACGATTTTAATATAAAAACTAAATTGTAGTTTCAACATGGAGTATGAAATATTTGTGAAATTACATATACTAAAAGATAGTTATTTATTTTCTCTTGATTATGAAGGGATAAATCCAGAGCCATCTCGTATATATCATTAACCAGTTACTTGGTTGGTGGATTCTCACTCCATTTTCACTTGGGAAACAATTTTGTTGGACATTCTATGGTTAAGTTTATATAATTATCTCTACTTTATTAATATTTTATGTGTAGTTGTGAAGGTTTATGCTCACATATTAGGGTTAGTATCCTTTAATTTGCTAAAAATATAAAATTATGAATCGAATTTTCATTTATAAATAAAAAACCATATCAAGATTTTAAAAGCTGAGGCAAAATGTAAATGAGCACTTTTAAATCCATTGCACGTTAATCAGTATTCTCTTCCACGAAAATCTCCAAAAAAACAATTTCGTTAAAATATACTGTAAAAATAATATTACACATCTCAAATGGGAAAAAGATGAAAGCCGAATGAAAGAACAAAGCATATAATTTTTCTCTTAATATCTAATTCCTTGAGCAACTTCAAAGAAGTGTGCAACGTTCTCTTCAGGGGTTCCAACTTTAATACCATGCCCTAGATTCAGAATGTGTTTATCTCTCCCTGCTTTCTTCACTGTGTCGTGAATCCGGCTGGTAATAAACTCTTTCGATCCGAATAGAACTCCCGGGTCCACGTTTCCTTGAACCGCTATGTTTCTTCCTAGCCGGTCCCTTCCTTCAGCCATGTCTACAGTCCAGTCTAAGCTCACGACATCCACACCAGTCCGTGCCAGTCTCTCTAGCAGACCTCCTGATCCACTCGCGTATAATATTAGAGGTAGGTTCGGATGAGTTTGTTTCACAGCTTCCACAATCTGTTTAAGATAAGGTAAGCTAAACGCTTCAAAATCAACCGGGCTGAGCTCGGTAGCCCAAGAATCAAAGATTTGTACAGCTTGAGCTCCGCTATCCGCTTGATAGCGTATGTAAGTGATCATCGAGGTTGTGAACTTCTGGAGTAAAGCATGTAGAACCTGAGAAGAAAGAAAAACTTTCAACATTTTTTTGCCAAATTTTTAAGTTGTAAAAGTGCTTTAAGGTTAGTAATCTACCTTGGGTTGAGAGAAAGCTAATCTTTTTATCTGTGAGAAGTTCTTAGATGAGCCACCTTCGATTACATACGAAGAAAGAGTAAATGGAGCTCCAACAAAACCGAGAACAGCGGCTTCGTTGCCCACCTGAAACAAAACATATTCTTCAGCTTAAGAGCTTAAGAGCATTTGTTGCTTTAGTAATCACTATTAGTACCTCATTTCTTAATCTTTTGAGTGCTTCTCCAACATACGGAACAGATTCCTCTGGTACAAACTCTCTAACTTGATCCACGTCCGCAGCTGATTGCGGCGGGTTGAAGATGATAGGACCTTTGCCTTTAATAATGTCGAAAGGTATGTTCATACCAGACAAAGGAGTGAGAATGTCCGAGAACAAAATCACCTTTTACGAAACAAACATGTCAACTTATGAGATCATACAAAGAAAAAACTCCAAACTCAATGGACATAAAGAAGAAGAAGAACTCACTCCATCCGGCTTGAACACCTTCCACGGTTGTAGAGAAATTTCCACCACAAGATCCGCATTCTCTGATCTATCTCTGAAAGAAGGATACTTCTCACATAGAGTTTGATAACTCTGTTCATCATATAAACCCAAAATTCAGGACACACAAAATTCCGGAAGAAAGAAAGAAAACACATTTCACAGAGTTTGTAAACGAAAGAAAGCATATTTCATAGAGGTTGCTTGCCTTCATGTACCTCCCAGCTTGCCTCATAAGCCAAACAGGAGGTCTATCAACAACTTCACCTTTAACAGCTCTTAGAAGAAGAGGCTCGGTGGTTGCGGAGACTTTTAGTTCGGTTACAGTGGTTCCTAAACAATGAATTTGAATCCCATTAAGCATAAGATTAAAGACACTACTAATAACACGGTCCATAATAAGCTTTTGCACACATCCATGATCAGACTCGAAAACCAATGACAATCCCATATAAACATTCAAAATTTTGAATCAAGCAATATACTTTACGAGAAAGAACCATTGTATCATCTTCTACAAAACGAACTCGCAAATTCTAATTCCCACCACAGAGATTATTAGTAAAGTAGAATCTGAATGTTTCTTCAGATAACCAATGAAACCAACAATCAAAATCTGAATAGAGTAACCAAAACATTCGATTCAAGTATCACAAGAAACACCCAATTCGCTTCCCATTTTGCAGAAAAGAGAGAACTTTTATTGAAATTTCGCAATTTTTCTAAGTACCCAGAATCAAAATCGACGAAATTGAAGGGGTTAGAAACAAGTACCCGCGACGGAACAACGAACTATCCGTGAAGACTTGGGAGACGAGAGTGCTTTTCTCG